AGAAAGAAAGAAAGAAAGAAAGAAAGAAAGAAAGAAAGAAAGAAAGAAAGTTAGTTTGGAATTTAAAGGAATACTGTACACATAAACCTCTGTGGTGGGGCACTCTAAAAGACAAACTTCAGCCTGGAAAAATTAACTTTATTAACAATATCTGAGGTCTAGGATGAATTCTCAGGTTAGGAATGACTTCAGTGAAACAGAAGAAAAGCATAGTAGATAAAGTCCATTACTTTGACTACAACTGAAAAAAGTTGAGGAACAGAGGAAAGTGTAGAGATTACTATTATATACATCAGATATGTGGATAGGAGCCCAAAGGATACCGTTTAAAATGGACAGACTATACAACGTAATATCCCAGAGGACTTCAGTTCTATTCCCAGCATCTATATGGCAGCTCACAACCATCTGTCACTCCAGTTGTGACTCATAACTGCCTAGACCTCCTCCAGCTCTAGGCATACCCGATATCTCTTGGCCTCTTCAGGAAACTGCACTCACATGCACAGATCATCCCCATGATTAAAATTAATAAACCATTAGGCAGGATCAGAGTCCCTGAACAGAGACCAAGAAAGGTTATTGGTCAATAGTGTGGCCCAGTTGCAGAAGACCCTGGCAGTTTAGAGATGCCAGTTACCATGGGACAATCACCAAGAACAGCAGCAGCAACAGCAGCAGCTGTAGAGCTGGCCTGAGCCCAAGAACAAGACAGGTATGCTGCAGAGGTCTGAGCTGGAGAAATGACTCAAGCACTTTGAAGGAGCCAAAAGGATTGTGGGTGACTCCCAGACATTAGACACCAAGTTATTTACACTGTTAAGAATTTGATTTTGCTTTGTTCAGGGCAAAATCTGTGCCCTGGGTTCCTCCCTTTTGAAATAAGAAAGTACTTAGCTTATTGTTGATTTTTACAGGAGCCCACAGTTAAAAAGACCTTCACATTTTAGAGATGGAATTTTAAAAGAGTTTTGAAGACTATGAGACTTTTAGGTCAACTTGACATAAGTTAGCATCATTTTGGAAGGAACCTTAATTGAGAAAATGCCCCTACCAGATTAGCCTGTGGGCAAGCTTGATTTGTACTTTCGTAATTGATGTGGGAAGGCCCAGCTTACTGCGGGCTGTACCACACTTGAGCTGGTGTGGTGCTTGAGTGCTATAAGGGAGGCTGAGCAATCCATAAGGAACATGCCAGTAAGCAGGGGTCCTCCACGGCCTTTTCTTCAGTCCCTACTTCCAGGTTCCTGCCCTGACTTCCTTTGATGATAGACTTGAAGAGAAACAAACTCATTTCTTCCCAAGTTGCTTTGGTCATGACAGCAACTGAAACCCCAACTAAGACAGTAGATAACTGAAGCCATCATGGAACACAATGCAAAAACAAAGGCTTAGTAGTTATCTGTTTTTCGTGCAAAGAGAGACCTATAAACCACTGCCTCTTTCTTGTACTCACTATTTCTCCAATCTACTCTTTCTAGCTAGTCATTCCTCTACTCTACTCTGCTTTCAGTTTCACCATTTTAGGAAACATAATTGCTCAAAAACCTTTGCTGTGCCTATATATTTTTTAAAAAGGTTGTGAAATGGACTATCACCTGCAATTGTAGTCACTACTTAGATCTTTACATCTCCATTCATTCCATAATCCAGCAATGAGAGTTGCTTTATTAAAGACAGATATTAATTTCCCATCTGCATTATGCTACAATCAGTGAACTGAGATGAAAATGTATTGAGACAGAACAACATCCCTACTAAAGGAGATGGAGACAAGAAGTAATAAAATCAATCACATAGTGCAGTGTAACAGAACTGTAGAGTGCCCAGAAGGCCATCCCTGCCATGGACAGACAGATCTCTGTGCTTTGCCTGTGGTACATTGCAGAATACTGATTTCTAAGTAGTTCATATGTATTTTTTGAGAGCTCTAGGTTAGAGTTCCCACTCTGTGGAGTCTTCCTAAATCGTGTTAGACACTAAGCTAACCAATTGTTTTCCTAGGCTTGTTTCTAACAGAACAACATATTCTGACAGCAAAATTAACAGTCTATTCTACACAATCTATTTTAGTTTAGTTTTAAACTAAAACGTATAAAACCTGCATATGTAATATAAATTTTAGAGACACCAACTTTTTTCATTTTAATTTAAAGTAATAAATTTTATGACTTACCTGACATGTGTATTAAAACTAAATTTTAATAATTTGTTTGATTAAAAACTAGATTTTAATAATATTAAAAAAACAGACTGTCAGCCAGGCAGGGGTGGCACACGCCTTTAATCTCAGCACTTGGGAGGCAGAAGCAGGTGGCTTTCTGAGTTCGAGGCCACTCTGGTCTACAGAGTGAGTTCCAAGACAGCCAGGACTACACAGAGAAACCCTGTCACGAAAAACCAAAAAAAAAAAAAAAAAACAACTAAAAAAAAACAAAACAAAACCATAAAAAACCCCCACCCCCCCCCCCAAAAAAAAAAAAAAAAACCCAAGCCAGACTGTGACCAGCACAACAAATTCTCCGGAAACTTGCAACTCTCATAATGCATTTCAACAGTTATAAGGATTTAAGAACACAAGGTTTTCTCTCTAGAATTCACCGCCACATATAAACGATAGATTCTAGATGTGGCCACCTTTAGAAAGGAAAATGGGAAGAATGTGAAGATGTCTCTCTAACTTTAGTAGAAATTGTCAAGAATTAAAAACTGAAACAATACCTCCCCTTGGAATAACTTTTTATTCTGTTAAGATTTATTTATTTTTATGTGTATGGGTGTTTTGTTGGCATGCATATATATACTTTAATGGTTAAAAGGGCTTTGGGTATTCCAATGGTCATAAGGAAACATCCTGACAGGGTAAAAAGTCCATGTTTCCAGAATAAAACTAGGAATCACGTGCATGATGTGTGATCAAGGCCAGGGAAGTGTGCCATGCTCCCTAGAACTGGAGTTACAGATGGCTGTATGTTACAGCTGCCGTGAATTCAACTTTTAGGTCCTTGTGAAGAACAGCCAGTGTTCTTAACCACTGAGCTATCTCCTCAGACAAATAAATTTTTACATTCAAGGAAAATATACACTAGGGAGCTTCTCTTGCTGCCACAAAGTATTAATCTCATAAAGCAAAAGTGCTTTTTAACATAGAGAAAGAACAAGAGTACGTGATTTTCATCCATAAAAATTCAACAATGTAAGATATGTTCAAGTTAATTTGAAATGAATTTGTCTCAGTCTTGCATGCTTTTTCTCAGTTGTGACTCCTACAACTGATAGATACACAAAGTCACATGTCTCCTCAAGAGTTGAGGGCAGAAGCAGAGGAGACTAATGGAAGGAGAGAGGAGGAAAGAGGGATGTTGAGAGACTCAGGATCCTAGGCACAAAGTACACTGTGACACTCATGAGAAAGGTCTTATGTTATAATATAACATTTTAAAAGATCAGTTAAGGGGATGGAGAGAGGCTCAGTGGTCAGCAGCACTTCTTGCTCTTGTAGAGGACTTTGGTTCTGTTCCCAGCACACACATGACAACTTAGCAGTTCACGTTCCTGGGGATCTGATGCCCTCTCCTACTCTCTGTGAGTTCCAGGCACATACAACATGTAGGCCAAACACCCACACACAGAAAAATAAAAATAAATCTTCAAACAGAAGTCTGTTTCCATTTTAACCCCAGATTGAGTTCATACCCATTCTATAAGAGGATCTTTGTATCCCACTGTTATTTCCTATGAAATATGCTGGTAATATTTTCATTTTTATTAAGTACCTGTTATATCTGACTGAAGTTTTGGCAGTACTGCTTGTCCAAGTTTTTTACACTAATGGTTGAAAGGGCTTTGGATGCTTTCATGGTTATTAGCAAACATACTGACAGGGTAAAAAGTTCACACTTCCAGAATTATACAACTTGAAAAATCAAATAAAAACAAGTCTTCCCCAGCCCCCATGTAGCATTCTCTACTCCTAAATCTTCTATACATACTCAGTTGCCTTTGAAGGCGGCTTATCTGGATGGATCAATTCCAGAGTCAATCCTTTGCTCAGGATCCTGGTGTGCACTGCAATCTAAGCAGTTAGAGCACTTCATTTCGTATTTCAGTCCTGCAGTCTGCCCTGTTTCCCCTGGAGGTAGGAAGTTTCAGAGAGGACAGATGCCACTTACATTTGAAAGATCTGCTTGTATTTAGAAGAGTAAAGTAAGGCCATCATATGCTTGACATAATGTCTATATTACAGGACCTACAATGAAACAATATTAATGGGTCAGGAATGTTGCCTATTCAAAGCCCTGATTTTTAACTGAAGAAATTACATTCCAGAAAGCAATGTGGGATTTCAATGTAAAGATTCTAGTTTGCAAATTGTGTTTCCTGAGTGTGAGGAAGACTGATCCACGCAAATACCACCAATATTTTCTGTGGATCATTACAAAGGTCACAAGTCCTAGGGGACCTTGTACCATTTTAAGAAGCAAGAAGAGTTCTGCCTTTTAGGAGTACACTGTAGCTGTCTTCAGACACACCAGAAGAGGGCATCAGATCCCATTACAGATGGTTGTGAGCCATCATGTGATTACTGGGAATTGAACTCAGGACCTCTGGAAGAGCAGTCAGCACCTTTAACCACTGAGCCATCTCTCCAGCTCTGAAGTCCTGCCTCTTAATAATTGAAAAACAGCACCAACCCTGGAGATGTCAGTTTGATCCCTTAGACCTACGTCACGGATAAAGATGAGACTTAACGACTATACATTGTCCTCTGACCTCCACACATCCGCATGTGCTCACAGATGCAAAGACACATCAATATGAGATGAGACACTGTAAAAAACAAAGACACACACAGACACACAGACACACCACACACACACACCACACACCACACACACACACACACACACACACACACACACACACACACACACACACACACGACCTTAGGACACTAAGGTGACTTTAAACAATGAAGAACTAGTTTTTTTTAACTTTATGTTTCTGAGACTTAGCACTAATAAAACAAAACTTGGTTTCACAATCCTTTTAGTAACAGTTTAGCAACATTTTATGTATGTCTAGAGATTTAGAATAATTCCAGTACTATAAGTAAAAAAAAAATGTTGCATTAAAACTCACTCAGCCATCCATGTGCCAAACACATTACTACATGCCAGGAAAAATAACTAAGAAAGCTGACTCATTATCTTAAGACACCCTCCTCAGTTATTAGTAGGAATGTCATGAAAACAGACAGCTAGGAAAGCTGACAGCAGACACACCATGGGCTGTATTAAGAGGCTGGACAGCTTTGCAATCAGAATGGTAGTGCTATAAAAAGTTTCTTAGAACTAGTAAGGTGCAGAGTAAGGTTTCAGACTCTGGAGATGGGTGATTTAGTGGGTAATGTTGCCACATTAAGTACGAAAATTTGGACTCAATCCCTAGCATTTACAGAGAAAGCTTCAACTTATCTTTTTTGTCTCCAGATAAATAACTTGAGGGTCTTTAGGTTTATAAGCTACCTCTCAACGAGAAAGAATCTGCATCAGAAGTCAGTATGTACATTAACACTTTAAAAGTATGAATATTATTAGCAACTGCATCAAAGATGGGGCTCATACTTACAGTGTATAAAATTAGAACCTATCATTTTACAGAATCATAAAGATCTAGTCTTGTCCCTGCCCCGCTCTGCCATGACCAAAAAGAAATTTACTCCCATTTCTAAAAATATATGGGTTTTCTTCATGAGGATGGCATCTTGCAACTAAATACCCTGTTATCATACCAAGAGAGTATAAGACAGTATGGCCTGAGGACAACTATAAAAATCTAGTGGTGTATAAGCTAAAGAGAAAAAAAAAAAAAACCCTCTGGAAAAATAGAAAGTAGAGGTTCTCCTTCAAATTTAATTGTGGCTGTGAATCTACTGTATTGTGACTATTTCTCTGATACTTCCAAATGAATGAGAAACATTTCCTTACAAAATTATCAAAGATGTTTCAATTGGAAAAATGATAAATATACTTATTTCAGAAAAGGATGATTCTGTAAAAGTACCATAAGCTGGAAATAAAATTAAACACTTCAGCTAAGTAAACATATAGTTAGTTGACTTAGTATTCCTTTTCTGAGTTCTTATATTCCAATGTAATTCTATGTTTGAGTTTCTGTCAAGAGAGAAAAAACAAAAGGGAGCAACAAGATCCAGGCTAGCCAACACAGAATACCTTCATCCCCATCAGGAATTCAAATACGTACTGTAAAGTGTATCAATTCCATATACAGCCAGTAAATTGTGGGCTTCTGGGGTAACAATAAATGGTCTTAATTACAGGGAAGACAGACTTTTCTAGCACTGGGCCTGATCTGCTGCTGATAAAACTAAAGAACAGAAAACAAACTTCACATATAGATCAGATAAGACAGCTCTCCAGCTAAAAACCTGAGTACAAATTGCATGTACTGTAAGGATGGAATTATTCGTCATCACTCTCCTTACAGACTGCATGTATGTCCCTTGTATGTATAGTCTTACAAAATATCAACAATCACCTAGTGTTTCAAAGTCTGTGCATAACTAAAATTACAAATATTAAAATTTATAAGAAATCACATGAAAAGATCTACCAAATGGCTTTTATGTATCTGACAGTCCTATAGGAGAAGTAACAAACACAAATAAATACACTTCATACTAAACAACCACTTTTATAACTCTCTTTAGGTTAACTGGAATAACTGTATCCTGCTCAATACTTTCTCTTCTCTTAAAAAGGAATAGTGAAAAGCACTGAGCTGGGCGGTGGTGGTGCACGCCTTTAATCCCAGCGCTTGGGAGGCAGAGGCAGGCGGATTTCTGAGTTCAAGGCCAGCCTGGTCTACAGAGTGAGTTCCAGGACAGCCAGGGCTACACAGAGAAACCCTGTCTTGGAAAAAAAAAAAAGAAAGAAAGAAAGAAAAAAAAAAGAAAAGCACTGAAAACTTAACTCAATTAAAGTATTGTTAAAGAATTCTCTTGTTCTTTTATCTAACTTGAACTTAGATGTTATACAAAATTATAAAAGTCAAACATATATAGAATTACCCTGCAATTAAGATAACTGCTGGTACCAAATGTTGTTTTTAAGTTCTGCAATAAAAAGGCTTCCAGACATTTAATGGTATGTCATTTGGTAAATGAAAGTTTCCACAAAGAAAGGGCAGAGAGAGTACTAAAAATGACACCAGTGAAAAGTCTGGCTGGAAAGACAACAATATGGACCATGTTGGTCCAACACAAAACTTATTTTAAGTTCTACAGAACCTAGTAAAATGCTGACACCACTCCATAAAAATTTATTGAGTTGGCAACAAGAGAAGCATGATGTCAGCCACCAGCATCACCATCCACATTCCAAATAACATGGACACTTAACTGTTGGCCCTTCTTTAGAATACATGCCCAAGAAACAGTGAAATAAAAGCCTTAGGCGCGAGGTACTATAAAACACAAATGAGTTTAGTTTGGCAGTTTTGATTCAAATTAGTCTAGCACTTCAAACCAGGGAGACATGCAAGCTTACACATAGTGCAGTTTTGCAAACGTGCCACTCCTCATCTAGCTCAGCTACACAAATGAGCCTGGAGCAGCTCAGGAGACCTGGAAGAGGCATCACTGAAATGAGCTATGGGCTGCCAGGAGACACACAAGCACACAGTGTGCACTCACACACCTTTACCTTCATGGCACGGATTTCTTCAAGCAACCTTTGGGCCCGCCTTTGGTTTTTCAACAGTGCTTCTTCAGTGCCCCTACAACAGATTACCGAGAGGAGTGTTAGTTTTAGAGCCAGGTCATGATGAGCAGTGCTTTACACTTTTGAGAAAAGCCTATGTGAGAAGTGCCGCAGCCTGTACTGCTGTTTCCAGGCCACAGTGACACTGATGCCACTGTACTGGAAACTGGACAAGACACACATTATCCTGGAGCTGCTTCACTGGTAGCTTTTCTCTAGTCCTTTAATGGCCAAGTCAGCTATACCCTGTGATTAAAAAACTCTATTAAATGTAATATAAGCCTCCTAAGATATGGTTAAAGTTTGGAGATGCTTTTATTATTTGAAAAATTGTTTTCTGGAATTAAAGAAAAAATAAAGATGTTCAATATCTGCTTAGTCAGAAAAGAGGGTTATCTTCTAGAACATTTATAAAGGAACAGAAAACCAGAAACCAGACATTTGAATGCTTTCTAAATCATTGTGTTTAAACGTTAAGAACTGTAAATAGGTTTCCATTAATGCTACTAATACTGGAAATAAAAAATATTCTTTTATTCAAAAATATCACATAGTATATAAAAAAAACTGACAAATACTTCCACAGATACTGAAAATTTCAAAATACTAAGATTAGAAAGGGTGATAAAATAAAACAATAACTGATTCAAGGTAGACATCCTAGACTTATTAACACCTTGAAATAACTTCTAGTTACATAAAACACATACAGAACACTGAAGGCAATTTTATTTTAGAAAGAGGAAAGGGGAGGACTTTTTTAAAATGAAGAAATCGTTCTGCTGGGCGGTGGTGGCACACGCCTTTAATCCCAGCACTTGGGAGGCAGAGGCAGGTGGATTTCTGAGTTCAAGGCCAGCCTGGTCTACAGAGTGAGTTCCAGGACAGCCAGGGATATACAGAGAAACCCTGTCTCGAAAAACAAAAACAAAAAAACAAAACAAAGAAACAAACAAACAAAAAGAAATCGTTCTGTCTCTTAAGCATCAATGGTTCAAAGCACTGCAGAGCGGGCTGACCCGGCTCATTCTCTCCCACCCTGATCACTGCAACACAGAAACTCAAGTGCTGAGTGCAGACTCAGCCCTCTCACTTTATAAATATTAAACTTATTTTGACATTTTGTTAGTTACAGCATGACTTCCCATGACTAACTTTTTGGACTTCAGTCTGCCAACACTTCGGACAAGTTTTCGGATGACAAGAACCCGGATTCGCTTCACTTCTTTTCTCATCTTTACAACCTTAGAGAAAAAGAAGACAATATAAACGGATTCACAATGGAAAAAAGACATTCTGAGCATTATTATAGACTTAGGTCTGTAGTTTAATCAAAATTCTGCTTACTCATGCTCAGACTGATCAAGCTTCTTCCCTAACTGTGGGACTATGACAAGGCTGCACATGTATGCGTGGGGACAGAAGGAGAACCAACTCAGGATTCTGACTTTAAAGCCGGAGCTTTCCCAGTAATTAGTGGTTTACTCTTATACTCTGTTGGGATTAAAATACTCTAAATTATGATTTTTTTCCTCTGAAAATCCATTTTTCCTTGGAGATCTGGGCCTCAGATTTCCCATTTTTGATAACACAAAACTTTAACTTTCTTCAACAGTTCCGGCACTGTGTGGATGCTACAGGGCTGTCTTGTATCCTTTGGCCTTAGCATGCTTGTATTCACCATCACAGCTTTTACTGGAGTCTTTCCCTGAGACGGGGAAATGCCTTCCCATGGGCTTGTTAACATCCATTCTTCCTGATGGCTCAATATCATTCCTGAATGTCACAAATTTCATACTACTGCAATTAAAGAGTAACTCTGCAATTTGCCACAAAAGTAAAAGTATTTTACTTTTAATCCAATTATGTTTGGTTAAAATAATAATTAATATGTGTTCCCTCCAGACAAATTCCATAGAAGTCAACCATCTTATTTTATTCAACATTGATTCTAAACATTTAAAACAGTGCATGGCATATAGATTATGTCCAACAGATACTTGCTGAACAACTAGAAACACAACCCACCTTTTCTTTTACTGCTTCAGATTCACTGTATCAGACGGACATAACTACTTTCGTTCCCACTAGAATACAGCAACATCTTTGGAATTTGTTTTTGCTATAAAAACTTTTTTTGAGGAAAAAAAATACTGTCCCTAAACACCATGTCTTGTATTGCTTGAGCTCATGAGCAGAAGATAGGCACTGTGGCTCCCATCTGTGACCCAAGGCTTCGGATGAAGGGAATAGAAAATGGCACACCTGAGGACAGTCTGTCCAGCATGCTTAGCCAGAAACAAGCCTGGGCTACAAAATGAGACTATGGTAAAACAATATAGACTAAATAAAAATTGAGAAACAGAATCATAATGGGTTATGATTGTAAAATTAAGTCATTTATAAAACAAAGGACTACCAAGTGACAATTTATACATTCAAACATTAATATTCCCCAAGGCTTAACCTTGAAAGCTTATAAATTGATAATATACCACTCACTATTAAGTATTAGTAACTATTAACTATTAACTATTAACTAATAAATCACAACAGGCAGAGCTGGTTCCCAGCTATACTCCAGTCACAGGAAAGCTAATCTCCAAATCTACAACTCCAATTTAAGAAGAGGTATGCTCGACACTACTTGAAAAGGAATTCTCAAAGTAGGGCAATGTTTCATATACTCACGATCACACCTATACCAAACATGTTCTCTTTTTTAATTTTCTCAGTGTCTGTGTATAGGCAACAGAGAATTTTGGGTATACCACAGACATTCACTATATATAAAAATGGTATTTTAATTTTTCTCACAACTGCTTAATCTAAAGACTTAGCTGTATTTTTATAAAACATTATTAGTGGTCTTTGTGTGAGGTCATTAAGTTATCAATTCATTTGTCAACCAGGAATTACAGCGTAAGTTGGCAAAAGGCCAGAAGCTGGCACGTATTTTATGTGTGTGGCAGAAGGCTAATACACTGCATACATCACACTTGGGCAGATTCTCTGGGTCGGGAGGTGCACCTATATTCCTGGCACTTACACAGTAAGGCTGGAGAATGTGGACTCTGGGGACTAGAATGAACTACACAGCAAGACACCTTTTCAGAAACTAAACAACATGCTTGTACATCCAGGTTGAGGCTAGGGGTGGTAGGTGCAGCAGATTCTTCTCATGCAGTACCAGTGCCCCCTGAGATAAATCAATTAAAGGATGGAAAGAAGTATGGATTTGGCTGTATTGGACACCTGGTTACCAGGGAGGGCTTCCTTCAAGTTTGGCAAAGTGGATGTTGTTGTCATCAATGATCCCTTCATTGACCTCAACGACATGGTCTGCATGTTCCAGTATGACTCTACCCATGGAAGTTTAACAGCAGAGTCAAAGTTGAGAACAGGAAGCTTGTCATCAATGGAAAGCCCATCATCTTCCTAAAGTGAGATCTTACTAACATCAAATGGAGTGACGCTGTGCTGAGTATGCTGTGGAGTCTACTAATGTCTCCACCGCCATGGAGAAGGCCAGACACCAGTTGACCCATAAGGGTTATCATCTCTGCCCATTCTGCTGATGCTCTAATGATTGTGACGGGTGTGAACCATGAGAAGTGTAACAATTCATACAAGATTGTCAGAATTGCTTCTTGTACCAGCAACTGCTTAGCCTCCCTGGCCAAGGACATTCATAACAACTTTGGCATTGTAGAGGGACTCATGAACAGAGTCCATGGCATCACTGTCATCCAGAAGACTGTAGATGCCCCTCCCTGGGAAGATGTGGCATGATGGCCATGGGGCCGTACAGAACACCATCCCTACATCCACTGATGCTGCCAAAGCCATGGGCACGGACAGAGCAGAATGGAAAGCTCACTGGCACGCCTCCCATTGCCCACCGTGAATCTAATAACATGCTGTCTAGAGAAAGCTATCATCAGCAAGGGAGTGAAGCAGGCATCTTCACTAATGGGCATCCTGGGCTACACCAACAGTGAGGCCTACTCTTCCACCTTTGAGGCTGGAATCGCTTTCAATGACAACTCTGTAAAGCTCCTTTCCTGGTATGACAATGAACAGAGCTACAGCAAGAGGGTAGTTGACCTCACAGTTTACACGGCTTCCAAGGAACAAGAAATCCTGGCCCAACAACCCCAGCAAGGACACAAATGAAGAGAGGCTCTTGGCTGCTGGGGTATCCATGTCCCAACACTGAGTATTCCTCTCAGTTTCCATCCCAGACCCCCAGGAGAAGGGGATGGGGCTTCAGGGAGCCCGACTCTCTTGAATACCATCAATAAAGGTCACTGTACCCTCCCCTCAAAAGGAGAGAATCAAGAGACAGAGAGAAACAAAGAACATGAATGAACAAACTATACTACAATGCTGTCTGGGTGGGAGATGGAAGATTCTAGTTAAAATAGGTTAGGAGATAATAGTAGAAACAAAATGAAAGACATGTATAAAGTCTGGAGAGAGAAAATATAGCAAAAGTCTCTAGGGCATCATTACTCAGACTGATGATCCCAAGCAGCAAAAGAGTGAATTTAAAATAACCCATTAGAAGACTCAAAGATCATACTGTAGTGTACCTGTGCTGACAGTGTGGTGCCATCTGGAATCTAGGTAACCTAAATCACTTCTTGGATAAATAATAAAATATTATAAAATCAAAACCTAATATTCCCACTGAAAAAGAAACAGACAGAATGTCAACTCAAAGATGAGAAACGAAGAAAAGGAATAGCAAACAGGCAAAAGCTGACTGTGAAAGAAAGGACATTCTGTCAAAGGGTTCTCTAGCTATGGACTTAAGTCCTTTCTGCAGTCCAATAGTCCAGTGCTGGTGGTGATCAGCAGACAAAGAACAATGTTTCACAATGTGAGCACCCTCTCTAGATGTCACATATTTTGTAATGGGCCATTTTACTCATCTATACTATCTCTTAAAGCTAATGTTTACCAACAATTTGCTTGTGAGAAAAAGAGCTATATTTTGTGATTAACAATGCAAATTTTTGATACTATGGTCTATAGACAAAATTAAGTGGTTTAAATTGACTTTTTCTTACTGTCTGCTAGCTTGTCAATCAGCTAACATCAAGGAATGCATTACCTTGCCATGTACTTGGACTTGATGGTTATTAGGAAAAGCTGAGCATATCTGTACACTTTTGGAATATATTACAACTTCCACTGATTCACTCCTTCATATACAAATCATAAAACACTGATCAGGAGACTGGAAAACAGGCATGCTCATACACTACTGGGAGAAAAAACAACTTCTACAGAATTCCATATGGAGGACATTTGGCGATCTTTAATAAAAAATCCTCCTTCTGGGCGTCCATCTAGAAGGTATACTTGTAACAACAAAGGATCATACACAATGTTTTTACAGCCTACCCACTAGAACATGCCTCATAATACACATGTGTAAAGGGCACACAGAAGGACATGCACATTTCTGCAGTACAGTATCTCACATGTTAAGTTTAAAAATATACACCTATACTACACACTAGGTATAGAAATGGCACAAAATGCGACATATAGGTAAGAAAAGTATATGCCAGAAGAGTTAATAATTATCTCTAAGCTAGAAATAAATATGATACTGCAAAATACTGAGAATTCTTAAATAAAGTAGGTAACAAGGACATGTTTTACCACTTTCCATGTGTTTCAAGCATTCCACACTTATATGTATTATTATGCCTTTAAAAGGAAATTCTAGGTTGGTCATTTAGTTTGCAACTTACTATTAGAGTTCCACTGTTGAGTTCTTTTTTCTAAACTGGCAAGTGACTGCCCTGTAACGTACCCACAGCCATACATATGCACAACATAACCAAGCATATGCTGCCACCTAGCAAAGCTTATCAGAAGAGTAACGAGCAAACAAGCTGGTTGTCAGCTTAAGGAGGAGCAGATTTATAACTTCAGCACTTTTCAAAAACGCCACGACATAAAAGTTTTACAAGCTCATATAAACATACAAGTATGTTTTTTGTTATTCTTATCATTCATAATAGAAAATAAATATGTCCTTAGGCATTTTAGCTTCTACGTTTACAAGTTACCACCTCTAAGAGGAATATTTGAATCCAGTTGTAGTTGCAGACATTCCTTACTCACTAAATATCCACAGACATGTTCTACTAGTCATGCCTGCTTCTCCAGCTCTAACAAGATGGAAGGAAACTCCTCCCTCTCATCTCAACACCGGTTACCATGACTTTGGAAGACATGACCTTCTTTTATCTTCTCAATACTACATGCCCGAATACCATTTCTAGTCACGGACCTATGCTAGAGCTTAGGAAAGTGCACAGCAAGTCAACAGAATAACCTCTCAGAGATCTTACAGACACATAAAGGAAAGAACACTCAATGATAAGATAAAGTAAAAAGCAATGTTTTATTATTTTTTAAGTAAAGGTAAAATTTAATATGCTTTATAATAATAAATCTATTTCAGGGTCAGAAAGATGGCTCGGCAGTTGAGAGCACTTTTCACCTTTGCAGATGACTTGGGTTTGGTTCCTAGCTCCTGTATCAGATAGCTCACAACCACTTCCAACTCAAGTTCAAGACATCCAATGCCCTCTTCTGTCCTCTGGGCACCAGGCACACATGCAGTCCATCTATATACATGCAGGCAAAACACTCACACAAAAATAATAAATAAACCTACAAAAATTTAAATGTATTTTAAGAATGAAGAGTTAAGATATGTTTTATAAATTAGTCCCTATTCACAATCAGAAATGCCAGGATATTATCAAGTCAGGAGACACTGAAGTTACTGCCTAAGGAGTACTACTACAGGTAGGTTTCACTCTTCACAGGACATTACGTAAATCTGATACATTATAAAACTCATTTAAATAAAAATAGTAATACAATACTAATAAAACCCATTTATTTTGGAAGTACTGGGGATTGAATCCAGGGCCTTGTGTATGCTAGGCAAACACTCTACCACTGAACTATATACCCAGGGCACCATATATCTTAAAAAAAAAAAAAAAGTCAAAATTATAAAACAAGGGTTACTAATCAAATCACAGCTGTGATTATTATCTTGAAGACAAAAGGCACAGAGGTTTACAAATATTTGCAAGTTTAATGTTAAAGCAATTATTCTTTACCCCAGTCAGTAACACCACACACATGCATATCAGTCAAAAAACAGAAGATCAGAACTATTCCCTGAACAAACTTAAGAAGAGCTGTTCTGAAGATCCAAGCCTGAAAATGGAGTTCCATCCCCACAACCCACATGGTAGAAGGAGAAAACCAACCCCAGGAACTATCTTGAGTTCCTCATGGGAACTGGGCAGAGATGTGCCACAGCCTCACTCCTATACAAGGTAAACAAATGGTAAAAAAGGCCATCCTTACAATACAAACAAAACTTTAAAGACAGGTAGAAGAGACACACAATCTCTTTCACACATATAGTCCCAAGTAAATGCCATAACATACTGACAAGAAGAATTAAGTGGTGCCCCATAACTTACACAAAGGACAATAGCTAGCAATCAGCTTCTTAAGAAAGCGCTAAGTAGGAATGAGTGGTGGTGGTGCACTCCTTTAACCTCAACACTTGGGAGGCAGAGGTAGGCAGATCTTTGAGTTCGAGGCCAGCCTGGTCTTCAGAGTGAGTTCCAGGACAGCCAGGGCTATATAGAGAAACTCTGTCTCAAAACAAAACAAAACAAAACAAAACAAAACAAAACAAAACAAAACAAAACAA